GAGCAGGGAGCCCGATGCGGGGCTCGATCCCAGGACCCTGGGATCATGACCTGAGCCGAAGGCAGACGCCTAATGACTGAGCCACCCAGGCACCCCGGGAAATTCTTTTAAAAGAATTTACAACTGAATGTCTAACTGATAACACATGTCTTTCTCAGAATGATTCTCTGCCTTGCTAGAATTCTGTTTATTGACCTCTCCTTAAAAGTAAAGGATAACCCATTTTTTACTTCAAAAAATTTTTATTAGGAACATATTTCATATTACGAGGAACATATATGTTAGGTTGAACCATATGAAGATGACACTTTTGAAGGTGAAAAATAGTTGACTACCAGCAATTTCATTTGGTTCTTTCTTTCTTTTTTTTTAAGATTTATTTATTTATTTTAGAGAGAGAGAGCACAAGTGGGAGGGGCAGAGGGAGAGAGAGAGACTCTCAAGCAGACTCCACAATGAGCGTGGAGCCTGACACAGGGCTCAATCCCACGACCCTGAGATCATGACCTGAGCTGAAACCAAGAGTCAGATGCTTAACCGACTGCACCACTCAGGCACCTCTCCTTTGGTTCTTTCTAATGAAAGCAAAATCAATTGCAAATCTTCTACATCTATGACTACATTTTTTATTAAAAACTTCCTGGCATTGACACTTAAAAAGTTAGAGTACAAATAAGAACTACTTCCAAGTTAGCACAATTTCTAGTACTTACTTAGAGTGTTTCTTTTTTCTTGCAAATAATCCTGAGCAGCTCTTACTATCTGCTGTACAACTCCAGTAACCAGCAGCTGAACAGATGGTGGGTTCCAGGTCAACAGGAGGCGGTGCAAAACACTTAGCAACTCAACACCGATCAGCTATTATAAATTAATACAAGTAAATTTAATTAATCTTAATTTCAAAGGATACATTTACATTATTACAATCTAAGTAAATATGCATGTAAAATAAATCTATTTGGTAGCTAAAATTAATATATATGACTGTGTAACAAGTAAGAACATTAGAACAATCTTGAGAAATGGTCATATTGTATTCCAACACATTTTCAGCCAACAAATTACTGTGGATACTAGGCACTTCCAATAAGTCCCTCTCTCATTCATCTCAGCAACTATTACAAACTTTCACCACTCACTTTAAGCCTCTTTCAGTCTTCCACTCAAACCCATCCAATGAACCTGCCTCAAATTTCAAAGAGGAAGAAAAAAACTTAACTATAACCAAAGCCACCTTTACCTTTCTCCTTGAGATCAAGTGTCCAGACTCTACCCAAGGTTGATTGATCTTTCCTTATTTGCTTCCTGTCCTATCCTATTTGACCTCCCAAGGATTCTTCAAGGACCTCAATTGTATTCCATATGTCTTCAGCTTCTCTCTCTAGGTAGGTTCCTCTCCCAGTATAAAGAAAACACTCAGGTCTTTCCTGTCTAATTCCCACCCCCCTCCCAAATCCTCTCAGATCCTTCTCTCTGCCTCCATGTCCTCTATCTCTATTGTGCTTTCTCTGGTCCCAGCCCAATGCTTCCAGTTCCCTCACCCCTCATTCACTCCTCACTCTTCCACAATCTGGCTTCTGCCCACCTAAGAAAATGCTCTGTCTGAGGTCACTAGTAACCTTCCCTGGACTCTCTTTTGCCCTAATATACTGGATTCTGGTTCTTTTGAGACTGTTGTCTATCCTTCAAACTCTCCCTTGCCCTTGTAACTCTGTTCTCTCAGTTCTCCTCCTACCTTTCTAGTAGTCTCCGGTGCTGACTTACTTTCCTCATCTCCATCCTTTTTTACTTTTTGTAATATACTCTCGCGTTCCAGTCCCGGCCCTCTTTTTTTCTTCCTTTATTCAGTTTCCCTAAGCCAGTGTAACTCGCTATTTCTCTGGAAATAAAATGAGAAGAGCCTCTTAACTGGACTCCCTGCCTCCCTTGTCATCTCTTATCAACCAATCTCACAAGGTCGATAAAAGTGATCAAATCTATATATATCATGTTCTGAAATACAAGTTGAACCAGGTTATTCCTCTATTTTAACATTTTTAATGATTCCCTATGACTTTTAAGACAGATTTTAAACCCTTTAACATGCCATACAGGAATCTTTATTATTTGGCTTTTTCCCTGTTGTGCAGCCTCATCTCCTAACAACCCCCACATGCTCCATTTGTCTCAGCCAAAGCAAATGAGAGTAGTGTCCTTGAACTTGTCATGTTCTCTCATGCCTCCCTGTCTTGGGATTTGCTTTTCTCCCAGAGAGGAAAACCCATCTCTCTTGTGCTGCCTCACTAATTCCTCTTTTAAGATTTAATCCAACCATCATCTCCTCTGAGAAGCCATTCCTTACCTTCCTTGATAATGTCAGGGCTCCTCCCCTCTATTTTACTCATAGCTTTACATACACTAGCTCAGCACTTGTCATACCATCCTGATCTCCTGATCCAGGTGCAGGGAGACAGCTTTTGCTATCTATAGCCTCAAACTGTGTCTGATGCAGGACAGGCACAGAGTAAAAGTTGTTGGGTGAATGAATACAATTTTTGAGTCAGTATACTCTGCTGATTTTGAAATTATAGAATCCAACTCAGGAAAAAAAATATAATCCATCCAAGTGTAAAGCAGTGCTTGGATAAACAAAACAATATTGGGTTCAAAAAAAAGCTAGGTAGATGGGTGTGGGATGTATTATGTTAAAACCAAAATGAGCGAGTGTAAACACAGTATTCTCTTTTCATTCACAGATTAAATTTCAAATTTTATAAAAACCAGAAGTTTCTTGCAGTAATCTGTAGTTTAGCTGAGGAACAGCTTCAGGCTGCAAGGCTGGGGTACAAGAAGAGTTCATCAGTGAGTGAATCTTGTAATCACAAAGCATATGCTTTGTTTTATTTTGGTTTTGGTCAGCATCATGTGCAATCCTAATTTTGACATAATGAATGATAGCAACTCTGTTCGTTTGTGTTTTATGGAAAATTACCCCTCATGGTAGTGCTGGTGACCAAAAAGATGGCTCTTAGTATGAAAAGAAAAGAATTTCTAATTAAAAAGAATAACAAATCCACCAGTAGATTCATTCTGTAACATGAATAAAGTCCTCTAAATATTACATACAGAAATTAGAAAAAGCAATTCATTAAACTGCTTAGATGAGTAGTTGAGCCAGTGCAAAAAAAATTTCATTAAATGAGAGATAAAACTTTATCATTTAAAAGTGGTATAATTTATTTAATAGCCTTATAAATTATTTCAGGCCTTTATTAGTAGAATCATTAACTGGGATTGAAGGCATCCCTTAATTTTTAGTTTTACTTGACTACCGAGGAACACATCTAAAAAGATATACTGACTATTTCTATGCTGGCTGCGCCTAGTCATCCAACATTCACTATAATGTCTTAGATAAAGTAAAAAATCCTGAATACTTATTATATAATATTTATTTCATATGGGAGAAAATTATCTTAAGATAAATATGAAAACAAAGTGTACAATTTATTATCTGTTATAGAAATAGACTGTACCTGATCTTCTGCAATATGGATTCGGGCATAAGGAGAATCTAGCAAGGTGTGTAAGGCCTGTAGACATGCTGTAACATGTTCAATAGGCTCCTCAGGTCTGGGGGAGCAAAGGAACTGTATACTCACACCTGCGATGTACATAATAAAAACACACGTTTGTCACTATAAAATCCTTCGTTGCTCTAAGGTCAGATTTCTTCTCTATTTTTCCTCCATTCTTTCACAGATTACTTTGACACATACTTAATGCTACCTTAAAGCAGAGTTCAAAATGGTTACCAAAAGCAGCAGCCAAACTTTATAACACAGATTGTGGCTTTGCAGTTAGGTTAATAATCAAATTGAAGAACAGTCGGAGGAAAGATGGCAGAGGAGTAGGGGACCCTATTTCAACTGGTCCCCGGAATTGAGCTGGATATCTACCAGACCACTCTGAGCACCCACGAAACCAGCATGAGATGTAAGAAGATTTGGATCTCTACAAGCAGAATATTCGCAGGCGGTTGGTTTTGAGGTACGAAGCGGAGAGCCCTGATGCTGCGGGCAGATATCGGAGGATAAACGGCAGCGGGAGGGTGCCTGGCTGTGGGGATCCTACACCGCTGGTGAGCGACAGCTTTGCGCACTGCGGATGGGGCACAGACTCGCAGACTGGTAGCGGTGGGGAAAGGACTTTAGAGCAGCCCCCGGGGGCAGAAACCCGGAGCAGCGGGGTCATGCCTGCGAACTGCAGCCCCCGGGTCAGAAACCCCAGGGCAGCGGGATCACACGTGCGAACTGGGAGTGGCTGGCGGTTTTAGAAGCACAAAGGGCAGAGCCGTGCCCTGATCTGGAGGCAGGACTGGGAGCGCTGCGGAGGTGCGCACAACCCAGGACGCTGCAGTTTATAACAGCCCTGACAGAAACGGAGACGGTGTGGCCTGGAGAGCTCACTGAAGAACAGACTGAGATCTCTCTGCTCTGAGGCAGAGGGTTGGAAACGGTCTCTTCTGCTCTGACTCGCTGAAGGGATGCGGAAAGCCGCCAGGGAAAGCCGCCAGAGAACAAAAGCCCCAAAAACTGATTCCCCCTGAGCCCATCCCCCACCACAGGGGCACAGGGCAACTCCACCCAAACAGGGTTGCCTGAGTAACAGCGCGGCAGGCCCCTCCCGCATAAGCCAGACTAGGAAAACAAGAGGCCAGCAACCCTAAGGTCCCAAGAAAACAGGTGCATCTTGCTTGGGTTCTGGTCCATAATTTGGACTCTATATATTCCATCAAACATCCATCAACAGAATGACTAGGAGGAGGAGCCCCCAAAATAGAAAAGACTCAGAGATTATGACCTATGCTACAGATTTACAAATGGATGCAGATATAACCAAGATGTCAGAGATGGAATTCAGGCTAGCAATTGTGAAGACAATGGCTAGAATGGAGAAATCAATTAATGACA